TATCCATTCACCAAGTCATAGTTGATCATTGTTTCGATCTTCTCCTCGCCTCCTCACTTTCAATACCAAGAATGTTATCATACTCTCGCTACAATAAATCATATCCCTTCATAGAGGAGTCTTAAGTATTTTCCTACCATTAGAAATATCAATTTACCAATGGGGACTTGATAATTTTATTTTCAACTTCATAATCCCAATTAAGCTCACTACATATACTCTTTCATATAAATTATTTTAACACCAAAACGCTAAATATTCAACACTTAATTTGGTTCCAATACTAAAAATCCACCAAAATTATATGATTGGAAAAACTAGCACTATAATTCCAGAATATTGAAACTAGCACCAATGTCTATATATTAAAATCTATCATCGAAAACATGGACAGAAATAGCCTTTTCTAAGCAGTTTTTAAAAATAGCACCTATACTACAATAGCTCAAAAATGGCTGAAAAATTGTAGAATTTCAACCTCGAATCCTTAATCTAAGTGTTTAGCATCATATAATCACAAGACTTTCAAAGAATATGCCTTTATCTCACAAACACATTTCCAAAGTTTCTACTTTCTTCAACATCAATATCCAAATAAACATTTCTTTGCTATATCTTTATTTATAACATCAAATACATATCAATAACACATATTTCTTGCTAAACTTTCAATTAAAGCAAATTGTCCATATCCTTTAAAAATTTAATTCAATATACTTTATACTTATAAATCAAAGAGAAATTGAAGAACTTGAAAACCCTAGCTTGAAACCATCTTCTTCTTCTTCTTCTTCTTCCCTTCTCTTTTCTTCTTTCTCGGGTTTTCTCGAGCCTTCTCTCATTTTCCCCCAAAATATGAGAAAATGGGTAATATAGATGATATTTAATGGATAATTATTGAATAATTGCAAGTCAAGTCCCTCACTTTATGTTTTAAATAATGTCTAGTCATTAACTTTCCATTCTTGTAAAATAAATCCTCAAATTTAAATGATGTGCATGTTAAACCCTCAAGGATTGTAATTTGTAAAATAACCCCCAATAAAATAATTTACTTAATTAAGGTCCTCATTTGACTTTGAAAATTCAACTTTTGACTTTTGACTAGATAAAATGGGTTGTAACAATCTTACTTACTTAAAAGAATTTCTTCCTTGAAATTCAACTAGCAACTAACTAGGTAATGAATAAATGAGAATATTGAGCACAAAATTGATCTCCACTTGCCATAGGGCATCTTTTATTGAATGATTTCTCCAGCAACCTTAAGTAAACACAATTTCATTCTTTCAGATCTTGCATCTTATTTGACTTTTTCTAAATTAAGTTCTCTTTTAACTTCGCTAATAATCTTAAAGCATAAGGTAAATTTGACATCCACTTACTAGCCGTAGAAATAGACAACACATTCATAAATACCAGATAAACCTATTATAAACACCATCCTTGAACAATTGGACTCATGTTTAGATAATGTCTCAAATGCCAATATATGATATTCTCAGCTTTTCATTTCATCAAATCTTAGAAAAATTTCAGCTATTTCCCAATTTGAATTCTTAAGATACTTTTCACATTCTTCAAAACTTCATCTTTTGTTATAATTAAAACTCAAAGTTGATAGCCTCTCTTCTAAACTTGTCTTCATAGTGGCTGTTATTCGATTAAAATAAATTATACAATGGAGCTTAGTTATATAGCTTTCTACAACAAACCCAAAGATAATGCTCAGACTCCCTGTAGAAATAACAATCTTATATAAATATAATTTAACAAATCTATCTCATGAACTAACTATATTATTTGAAAAGAATCTTGTAACCTTTATCAATCTATCAATAATGATTCAAATACCATTTTATCTCAATTATCTGTACTTGGAACCCCAAAATAAAAAACATTTTAGGGTAACTAATCCAATTCTAACATGACAATATATGCAAAAATTCAATTGTTCACGATTTTCTAAAATTCTAACTATCCCCAACAACAATTGATAGAGCTCAATATGGTGTTCTTTTCCTTTAATTCTGTATCACTAAATGATAATATATACACAATTTCAATTTTAACCCTTTTCAATTAAAAATATACCTTAACTTTGGTGATCAATAAGTATCGATTTCTAATAATGTGATAATAGTGCAACTACTAATTTCAACCCCAATATAATCCACTCTAAATCATGTTTTAATCATGCTTCTTAAGTAACCTTATAGCATAATCCATAATTTATCTTTTTTACTTTAGAACACTTTCTAAATTCTAACATAACTCATTTTCATAAATGAAGCCCTCGTCAAATTTAGATACAAGTGTAAATACTTCCTCAAAATTTAATCCGATAACAAAACTTTTCACATTTCTAAACTCAGATAGTTTTGGTGCTCTTCCTTTCTTTGAAGAGATAATTATAACATTTAATCCATGATAATTTTATACTCTTCTTCCATAAAGAGGTCATTGTATATCATAAAGAGCTCTAATGAAGATAATGTAACCAAAAGATATCACTCCACAGTGAGTAAAATTTACATTTAATGATTATCTTCGACTTTAACAATCCAACATATCATCCATATATTCCATAGCGTATAAATCTCGATAAGAATGAAATACTTTATTCGTGAGACCCAAAAATACAATCTAAAATAACCCAAAAATTTCATCACATTATATGCCATAGGACAACCATAAATTTCATTTAATTACTATTCACCTGATCATGTAATCTGATCATTTATTGCTATATTGTAGGCTTAAAACATCTAATTATATTAATTTTTCTTAACATTACAAAGTAATAACCTTAATATTTATTACGTGAACTTTTCAGCCATCTATTGACCACCAAAATTTCGTATTCTAATTTCTCAATCTCCATCAATTTCAACTCTATAGTTCTATACTCTTTTCTTCTTTCCTTATTCTATAATTTACATAGCATCATTTCATTTTTAAAACCATACATGCTTATATGTGAAAGGTGATATACTAATTACTCTTTTCGTTTCCTTTACTTCAATGCATGTTCCTCTTACTGTATTTCAAGAATGAAAATCAAAATGTATTTCTTCGACCCACTTCATTCATGTCATTTTCCCCAATTTACATAAATGCACAAATCCAATAATTATTTTCATTGAATAACAATTTTTCTAGCAATAAGTAGTCTTTGTGAAGTCTATTCATATATTTATCACTTCTTATAATCAAATAATCCATAAATAATCAAAATGATCAAAGCTACATGAATGTCAATTTTCTCGATGCATAACATGCATATTAACACATTGTTCTCTAGCGATCACTATTCAATAAAATATCATCATTTATCCTCCATGAGATTCTTGTTATACATGTAGATATACATCACCTTAATTCCTATCATCTCTACAATTTTCGATGATGCTAATGATCATTTAGCTTCCCAAGAGAATTAAGATTTCTCATATGATTGTCATCAATTACACATAATATCATTCCCTTTTTATTTATCATGCAAATGATATCTAGAGATTTTCCGATATATACATAAAAAAAATCATACAATCTTACATGTGATTCAATACTTAGGTAACTGTGTACTCAACTCCTTTGAATGTATATTGATAGATAAACAACAAAATCATTAAAACTCTAATTCCAAAATGATATGTGTTCATTGTTGTACTCTTATTGAGTAGGTTACATACACCTCCGTACCTAGTACTTTTGATCGAAAAATCAATCAGATTGATTTCGTACCCTTCGTTCTACTAAAACCACGATGATTCAACTAAGCTAAGCCAAGGATTATCTGAGTAAGAACCGTTGGATGGAACAGCAAGCTCGGAAAATATTGCGTAGTTGTGGAGGGTCTTAACTCTCTAGCTGGGGTACCCAACAACTTATAACATTGTCAACCATTAAATCCTTGCAACTGATATACTTACATACTGGTCATTTCTAAAGCTGTAAGAAATATTTTCTCTCATTTTTTCATTCATCATAACTTATTTTCATACACCCAAACCGAGTAATTAAACCTTTAATATTTCCTTCAATAGCAGTTGAAATACAAACATAAATACTTAATTGTTCCTAAACAACAAAGGATGACCACAACCACATTAGTTTACTCAAAATCGCAAGGTACATATTTAATAACACCATTATCATCATGAATCAAAACTCGATATGGTTTCATTATTTTTGTCATGAACAAGATTCCTTGTCATATCTCCACATCTTGATTTTCTAATACACGCTTCTTCCTCCATATACAAAATATGATTACAAATTCCCACAATAATTCTCATGATACCACAATAATATAGATGTAAAAAACGATCATGATTTCACCTAGTAATATCACCAATTATACATATATCAACATTTGACTATACTTATCATCCAAAACATTTACAACACATTCCCTCTAATAATCATAAAAGAATCTCATAACCCAATAAATCTAAATGATGTGATTTTGCATTCCACTACTAAGAAAAGTTATACTCTTTGCTTAGCTGCATGTTGGATATATAGAGCAATTATTAATATATTAGAGAAAATATAACATGGACGAACATGACAACTCTAGCAACTCTCATTACCATCGATAATTCCTTAAATGCTCAAATCATTAGAGGCCCTTGTTTCTTAGTTGCCATATCTTCGTTATAAGGGGTAACATGAGTTTCAAATACTACATTGGAGCCTGTGAGTTCTACCACCACGCCACAACTAACAATCTTAATGACATACTATTCTGAAAAATTAATTCATGAATTACTCAAGCTTAACAACCATTGAACCATGCTCTGATATCAATTGACACGACCCGTCCGAATCATCCTAGTAGATCCGACACGTATAGTGCTCCGATGGTAGATACCAGTTAAATGCTGGATCTACTACCAAGGCAACTTGACTTGCTTGACTGAAAAATATTTTTAACAAAATTGGACAGAGTTTCCTCTAAAATATGAACTAAAACCACCTAGACAATAACCAAGTTTCCACAATTCAATACCTATAATATAAAATAGGGTACCTCAGTAGCTCATAATACAAACTATTCAAATAAAATGTTAGCCATTCAATATTTACTTGCTTTACAACCAACAATCCTCAAATATACCAAATACGTCAAAGATGTAATGAGCCCATGATGAATTTTTTTGATTTAAGATACATGTACTCCAAAAGAACACATACTGTATAATCTGATAAAGGATGTCATACAACCTACGATGTGTGGCTCAATTCGGTGATTTAACATGCTCCAAAACTGCTCAAATCGGCTGCTATCTGTTGATAAAGAAAAAGGAGAAAAAAATATATGAGCTTAAAGCTCAGTGAGTGGATAATTTTCAAATAAGTAAACTTTTCTCATTTATACATATTTTCTGAAAATTATTGCACTAATAAAACTTCTAGAAATTCTGAAATCTGGTAACACTTTTAAAATTAAACATGAATACATCATAAAATTCTTTGTTCTTCATTCTAGATAAGTAACTATAAAATGCAACGAATATAAATAATATGACATCCGTGAAAATCTATAAAATATAGCTGCTGCTCAATACTATAAGCTGAAAGTTTTAATCTGAGAATTGAATAGACTGAATTCTATAATCTGAAATCTGATAAGCTGTAAAAATACTGAAAAATCACACCAAAAAGGTACCTGGAATAACCTTACTCATGTATCGGTTAGTACCGATATACATGGTAAAACTATTCAGTTCTGAAATCTATAATTCTAGAATTCTGTAATTCTTAAATTCTGGTCATACGCGCGCAGAGCTAAAATTCTGTAATTTTGGTCATACACTATGGAAACACATTCACAATAGTGCAGAGCGGGTAAAATCACCATAACTGGCCATGCACTATGGAAACACATTCACACCAGTGTAAAGCGAGTAAAATCACCTGGGTACATTCTGGTGGTTTTTAAAAAATAACTTTGGCTATACTGAAACATGTAGTTCGAATAAAACATGGTAGTGAAATAATTTAATTAAACTGATTTTAACTTTAAAAGTAACTGATTATAAATCCATTTCATTCTAAAAATCACGCGGTCAAATCAACTGTCTGAAATAATAAATTTTCTAATCTAATGTAAATTTAATAAATAATTAATTTCTAAAAAATAAGTTTTATATCCACTCACCAAGTTATAGTTGATCATTGTTTCGATCTTCTCATCGCCTTCTCACTTTCAATACCAAGAATTTTATCTCGCTCTCGCTACAATAAATTATATCCCTTCATAGAGGAGTCTTGAGTATTTTCCTACCATTAGAAATATCAATTTACCAATGGGGACTTGATATATTTTATTTTCAACTTCATAATCCCAATTATGGTCACTACATGTACTCCTTCATATAAATTATTTTAACACCAAAACCCCAAATATTCAACACTTAATTTGGTTCCAATACTAAAAATCCACCAAAATTATATGATTGGCAAAACTAGCACTATAATTCCAAAATATTGAAACTAGATTGAAACTAGCACCAATGTCTATATATTAAAATATATCATCGAAAACATGGACAGAAATGGCTCTTTTCTGGTATACTACAATAGCTTGAAAATGGCTGAAAATTTGGAGAATTTCAACCTCAAATCCTTAATCTAAGTGTTTAGCATCATATAATCACAAGAATTTCAAAGAATATGCATTTATCTCACAAACCCATTTCCAAAGTTTTCACTTTCTTCAACATCAATATCCAAATAAACATTTCTTTGCTATATCTTTATTTATAACATCAAATACATATCAATAACACATATTTCTTGCTAAACATTGAATTAAAGCAAATTGTCCATATCCCTTAAACAATATACTTTATACTTACCATGCTAAATCAAAGAGAAATTAAAGAACTTGAAAACCCTAGCTTGAAATCATCTTCTTTCTTCTTCGTCGTCTTCTTCTTCTTCTTCATCTTCTTTCTTCCCTTCTCTTTTCTTCTCTCTCAGGTTCTCTCGAGCCTTCTCTCATTTTTCCCCAAAATATGAGAAAATGGGTAATATAGATGATATTTAATGGATAATTATTGAATAATTGCAAGTCAAGTCCCTCCTTTTATGTTTTAAATAAAGTCTAGTCATTAACTTTCCATTCTTGTAAAATAAATCCTCAAATTTAAATGATGTCCATGTTAAATCCTCAAGGATTGTCAATTTGTAAAATAACCCCAATAAAACAATTCACTTCATTAAGGTCCTATTTAACTTTGACTTTGAAAACTCAACTCTTGATTTTTGACTAGATAAATTGGGTTGTAACATATACCCCCTCTCTTCTGAAGGCTGCCTCCGTGTGTTTTAACAACTGCATTTACAGAAACAATAATTGACTATTTTGTGCATGCATATGTAATGCTAGCATGTCAATTTAGCCATTGTACATATCCTCCAATTCACTCCTTGTTTGTGCACCGGCGAATATAAAATTCAATTGGAGGTTGGTTTCATGGCGGCTGAGAAGGCAGCGGAGGGAATCTCCAAGTGGCTAATACAGGAAGTGCAGAAATGGGGTGCCATGAAGCAGATTGGTATTAGCGTCTATTACATGACAAAATTTAGGCCTCGACCCATTGACCGAAATTTGCTCATTTCTGCTCAATTCCTCCCCAAGGAGTTACCTATTCGGATCGCTCGTCGGGCTATTCAGTTGGAGTCGCTCTCCTAGGGTTTGTCCCATAATCCTGCTGTTTTGAAGGTATATTTTCCCTTCAGGGTTTTCAATATTACCTTTTTATTTAATTTGGATTTTGTTTTCCGCATCTTATCTTGTTCGATAAATTTTGAGAATTACGGATTGATAAATTTAAAATGGATGGTTTTTATCCATTTATGTTTTTGATCATGTTTTCTGATTCGGTTGCGAAATTATATTAAAAGCAGACCATGTGGATTAACGGACTGCTTATGCATCATTTTGTTCATCTAAATGTGTTTTGATCATATTTAATTGTTTAGTCATGGATGAGAAGTTTCAAATCATGATTTAGGTATAAGAATGTTCTTCAATTTAATTTCCATGTTTTTTATTTTCAAATGATATTTGCCCTTTTGGCATGAATTGGACAGTGCATTGTTGGTAAGTACAATGTGCACCTTCCATCTGCATCTTTTTATCCTATGACCGTGTCTAATTTATTTGTGCAATTATGCGTGGGGAATTCTAGATGCACAATTGGACCAAGTACTTGATTCTACTCAATGTTGAGTTAGTTATTGCATGATGTTTCATTTTTTTTTTATTTCTATTTTTTTGAGAAAAGATTGTATTGTACTAATGATTAAATGCATGTTGGTTTCTTATTTGTCCTCTTACTAGGTAAGAGATTGGTTTTTGAATTCTTTCCGTGACCTTAGATCCTTTCCAATTATTAAGGATAAGAATGATGAGTTAGAATTCACCTAAATGATTAAGATGATCAAAGTCAGGCACAACAATGTGGTCCCTATGATGGCTTTAGGAGTTCAACAGTTGAAGAAAGATCTAGATCCTAAAATTGATTTTGAGGATCTCGGTGAAATTCATCAGTTTCTGGATTGATTTTATATGTCAAGAATTGGGATCCAAATGCTAATTGGTTAGCCTTTTTTGTTTGCCTGCATCTTTTCTTACAGGCACATCTAGCATTGTTGTTGCGATACTTATTTGTAGTATCACCCAAAATTTTTGCTAAACAACTTTCTATTTGCTTCAAATGGTAACCTCATGGTAGCATGTGGCATTGCACGATCCAAACCCACCCCCTGATTGTGTAGTTTATGGTCATACGAAAATGTCCCCTATTGAGGTTGCAAAATGTGATAGTGAGGATACCCGTTCAATTTGTTTGTCGAGTATGGTAGTGCTCCCACTACAACAAAACCAGCCTTTTATGACATTCCTTTACAGCGTGCATCTATGGCATGTCGTAAAAATAGACTAATTATGGCGTGCGCTATATGTATGCTGTAAAAGATTAATTAATTAAAGTATTTATGGCGTGCATCTTTTGCACGCCATATTAAATGAGAATTTACGGCATGCTTTTAGTGCTTGTAGTGTATGTAAAAAAATTGAAATTTACGAAGCCCACCAGTCTTTTACAGAAATGGCCCAAATAGTTAAACTTAAATCCCTCAAAATTGAAAAGAGCACGAACAGCAGAGTTCATCCCGCGACTACAGAGAAATCGCTCAAAATCTGTCGATCACTGTGAGTCACTGACGCCATTGGAAGTATTTGATTTCAGTTTATTTCTTTTTCTCACCATTGCTCGGATCTCTCCACTTCCCGTAAGCTTCAATGAACCCTAAAATTCTAATTCCGGCTTCAGAATGTTTGATATTATATTTTTTTGTTAAAACTTGACGAGGGTTTCTATTTGAAAATGAGTTGTTGGGGCCTGGGTATTGTGTTTATTTGATTTGTGGGATTGAATGTAGCTGGGGATTGATTTGGGCGTGCATTGGGCAGTGGCCAACGAGTAGCTATTTCACAACATTTAGTGCCAAAATAAGATTTCATTATTGATTTGGAATGATTAGAATCTATAGTAAGCTTCAGTCACCAAACTTGTAATATGTCTATCTGCCTTTAAATTTATCACCCAATTATAATTTTCTCTAAACTATGCTCAAAGGGGAACATATATGTACATGGTAAAAACAATTCAATTACTCTGATTAAAGATCCTATTTTACTCTGAGATGTGTATACATGGTGACCCTATTTACTGTATAGATGCTGAAAAATCCAATCCACTTCCTCCTGCAAACAATTTTGCATCAAGAACAGATTTGTAGGCTCAAAATGTATCGAGGTCAGGACTGAAGAGAGACAAATCTCAGACTTCTAAATTCGCTATGTGCCAATCTACAAACCGAGCTTGAATTGTCTTGAACAGTAGCAGGATGGTGGGCAAAAGCCACCATCTCTCATCCTCCTTGCCATTACAAAAAATTGAACTCTCAATAATCTACCACAAAACCTATAGCGCCTGAGCCTCAGTTCCTAATATCCCTGGGGGGTTGTTAGGAAGTTTAAGTCAACAAAATTGAGTAATCTTATCTTTGTGAGACTAGATAGGCTTTTCTTCTACTCTGGTGGCTTTCCCTATGTATTCTCATTCTTATCTCTATTCTCTATATTTTGAAGTGATTTTTCATTTCAATCTGGTGAAAGCAGAGTTCCTGCACCACCAGTTCATTCTGTGCATGGTATAGTAACTATTGGACTGTTAGAATGTACTTTGGAAAGTCTCGAGTATGACTTGTATAACTTGTTTTAAACGCTTGGAGATAAAATGCCTTTTACTAAAGGAGGGACTATTCTCATTCATAAAATGGGAATATGAGATGATCTTAAATTATAGATAATTGCAGAGATTGGTGAATTCATTAATTTATGCTCATGTTAGATTTTTTAGCCTATAAATTTTTGCAGAAGTTTTGCATGTTATGTTGGAGTTATTTCATTGATGTTTATGCTTCATAGTTTTTGCAATTTCAATGGTGTTTATAAGAAATTGTTCTGGAACGTTTGTGCTTCGTTTTCAATTTCAGTTGCTTCTTTACGGTAATGTATTCATTGACCATTTCTAGCAGTGGCATACAATGGAATGAACTATGGACCAAAATGGAGTTGGAGGGAAGTATCAGACCAATCGGGTTCAGAACAAGGTCTACTATAATCTTCACACATTTTGACTAAACTTTTTTCTAGTTGTGTTGCAGCCAAAATGTTGGTTTGGAATTTTATTCTTAAATAAATGCCTTGTTGGTATATATGGTCTCTGAACTTAATTACAAAATATTCTTTTCATTTACTAAGAGGTAGGAAAAATGTGGCTCTAAACATATCTCTTTTCACCACTGCTCCAAATTTCCTATAACAGGGTTTTGAGACTAGCCTTCTTGGTTCTCATTCCCCCTTTAAGTCGTAGTCGTTAATATAATTTTATAAATTGCTAGCTATCATTCTTATGAATTTTATGGTCTCGTTATTTTCACAAATGGACCTTTTGTTTATGATAGTGACTAAAGAATATTAATTCCCGTTCCCACCATTTATCTAGTCTAGTTTCTTTATAAATTGATCTATGATGTCTTGTGGCTAACCTTCGGCTATGGTTTTGAGTCACATTGTCTTGGTTTTTATTTTTCTTTTTAGTTGCTGTTAGTTAAATAACGTAGATGCATATTCTTTCATTACTTGAAATTGGATTGGTTCATGAAGTCCAAGAAGTTGCACAAGTAATGGAGTCAAAAGCACAAGTAGCCATGACTTGGGTATGTCTAGTTTGCTCTTCTAGCAATTTTTTTCTCTTATTTTACTTGTTTTGTTGTTTACTCTTAAATTTTGGACAAGAACCATAATAAAGAGGACCTTACTCATAAATTTCAATAGCCATATACACCAGGCCAAGTGAAATGAAATTGATGTTTGTTACTTGGTATTTATTTCATAAAGGTACACCATGATCAATTACTTTTCCTCTTTATTTTTGGTTCCAGGACTATTCAGTCTCACAGACTAAAATAAAGCATATGGCATGTAGCAATTCGGTATCCGTTGACCATGTTACAAGCTACAAATCTGGTCCAAATGCTTGCTTGCCAACAGAAGATCACCATGATTGTGGGATGTCTTCAATATGGGTCGAATATTTTGTACTATTTTAATAAGTTATTTTTGGAGTTGTAATCGATACTTTTGGTATATTGATATCGACTTTTTGACTAGGCTAATGATGTTCTCTACATTTTTGAATATTGTATTTGATTGCACTTAATATTTTTATTCATTGAAATTATGGAAAACATGATTATATTATATGTGTTAATATATATAGTTCTTTTAATTATTAATTATTATAAGCTTGTTGGTAAATAAATAAATAAATATTTTTAACAAATGAAATTCA